TTCCAATTATGATAGGATTATGTAAATGATCAACAATAATTTTGTTTTATTTTATTTGTATTGTTCTAGTTTTATTTTGATTATAGTATGTTAGACCGGTCCACTGAACCGGTCCACTGAACCGGTCCAGCCGGTCCAGGCGGGACCGGTTCACGGGCCAAAATCGCGAAACAGGCGGAGATCTCTGCCTCCTGCGGAGATCGAGCGGCCCGACCAGCCCATTAGAGCATTTTAGGAAGCGTTTTTTAGCGTTTTGAGAGGGAAATTTGAATGTAGGGGCTGTTTAGGGATTTCCTTTTGATTTGTATGCATTAAATAGTTGTTTTTCCTAGGGTTTGGGCATCTTGAATTTGGCTGAAATTTGAGATCTCATAGAGTTAGGTTTTCTTTGGGCTCTAGCGGCGTCTAGAGATTTGGGAGAGATCGATCCTCCTCTCGAATTGAGGATCAATTGTATCTTGCTATTTTATTCATCTTCTAGTGAAATACAAGCTTTTCTTTGAGTTTTCTCTCAGATTTCCTTGTGGTGTTGGTGTTTTTCTGCTGTAAACAGCAGATTTATGCTGTTTTCTTGCTGTGGACAGCAGTTTTGCTGTTGAATGTTCTTCGATTTTGGTTAGGTTACTTGCGAACGCAAGTGTTTCCTATCATAGTAGTGCTTTTTCATTGTTCTACTGAGACATCTCCTAAAAGAAATTGGAATCTTCCATGCTAAGTAGAAAAAGCATTTTGTAACTAATATTTAAGAACAAAGGATATCTTCAAAGTTATTGTAATTCTAGAGCAATCGAACGTATGAGTTATATAATAAAGTTATGTAAGAGGTATCGAATATAAACTCAGAATAATCAAATTGGTATTAGATAATTGGTTTTAGTTTGTGCCAGGAAGATCCATTATAGAAGTGATTTTTAGGCTGAGTTAATTAATGAAAAAATATAGACAATAAATAATAGATTTTCAATAGTTTTTGTTTATTTTGAGAAGACATACGACCTATTGCTATAAGATTTGATTTGTTATACATCAAGGAAAAAAAGTACCCAAAAGTTATTAAAGAAGTGTATAATGGATCATTAATTTGTATCAAAAGTAATTATTGAAAGACCAAATAAATAGTTATAATAGAATTATTAATTTGGCTTAGTTTGGTATGATAGATTGAAAATTGAGGTTATGATAAAAAAATTAATTAATATATTATTAAAAAAAAGCTGGTACCTCTATGTGATAGATTTAATTATCTTTAATTTAGCAGACAAAAAAATTAAAATATGGATTAGGATGCAACCTCTAGAGTTAAATTTGGGGGTTTAAAATGGAAAAGTGCCTTAGGAATGTAATGTGATAAATAATAACATGGAGATTTTAAGGTAAAATTTATTAGATTGCAATTAGGCCAGCAAGGTTGTGCGAATCCAAATATTGGACATTAAAAAAATCATTGATAGCTAAGTTGCGTGTGTGACAAAATCATAATATTAAACTGTGGTAAAACCAAGAAGAATAGATGTGAGGATGATTGTATAGAGAGATAATGCAAGTACTTTCTATTGAAGACAAGGCTATGAAAAACTGATTCAAGTAATTTGGACTTCTAGAATGGAGAGTATAATTGCACTCATAAGACAGTGGTTGAAATTCCTATTCAAGGGTTTGGAAAGGAAAAAGATAGCACAAAGGTAATATGGATATAATTTATAGAAAAAGATTTTTTGTATAGTGTGTTTAATGTCTTAAGTGACATTCAATAGGAATGAATGGCAATTGAGGGTTCATAAAACAAACCCTGAAGTGTTGGGATAAAGCAGCAGCTGCTGCTGATGGTAATGTTGTTCATATTGTCGATTCTTGGATTCTTGGTAATAAAGTTGCTTGTAATTGTTGTGTAATAGTTTCCTCTCTCTTTAATTTTTAATAAATAAACAGAAATGTTAAGAATCTCTTCTCTAATATAAGTTATGGCTTGATCAAACCTTTGTACTAAATCTTAGAATACATGAAAACTAAGGTGAAGTTATAGTTTGTCTCGTCAATTTGTGGAATTTAAAGATTGTTTGCTTAAAATTCATTGTCTCATTAAGGCTTTGAGCCTTGCTTATTTGCACTTAAAACATTTTCAAATTTGTAAATTCTATTAATAACATTTTCAATATTTGAGAAAATGATAAAAAGAACCACATCTAAGTTTCAGTGGTAGCAGCATCATTTCATCATCATAGGTGGTGGGGCTCACTACCAGCACTTTAGGGTGCCAACAGTAGGGTTGAATTCCACCACTTCTAAGCCAGTTAAATCCATTTGGTAGTAGTAGATCACCCACTTGGGTTGGGATGGCTTCCCCAGAAAATGTGACCATAAATCTACAATTTTGAATGTTAGGACTGCTACTGAGCTGAATCCATCTATGAGCTCCATATCACAACTTCAATGCTAGATAGTGATGTGTTCTATGCTATTTGAGAGTGTCAGGTCAGTAAGATCGATTGAGAAATTTTTTCTAGGAATGCTAAGAGAAACCAATGTTTATAAGCGAATGGGCTACAATTGAGCGGAATCCATATGGCGACCATCACATCATGGATTCAATGCTAGGCAGTGATGAAAAAAGGGAAATCTTATGCTTAGGGTAACAACAAGGTAGTAATGAATCTTAATTGGGACAATATCATAAAATTGTGTAGGGTTTGTTTTATATTTACAGAATGGACCAAATTGGGAAAATTTGCAAGCTGTGGGATATTGTAATGGTTTAATAAAACATGAATGGCTAGTGTGATTTATATCAATCTAAGCTGCAATTATATGATCATATTTTGTACTCTATAACCCAAATTTTTATCAAAGTTGCTAGTTAATATCATAGTTACACAACCCATTGGCTAGCATTTTTTTTTAGTTTTCTATTTGCTAAGTTTGTTACGTTGGACTTATTTGGATTGGGTAGCTGGTGCGTTTATTATTCCTATGTTACCTGTTTCAAGCGTAAGGGTCATTTTATTCATAATTAATCATATGGCACGTTATTTACACTTTGATCCATCTGCTTTTTTTTCACTCTCTAGTTTAGCATCTAAATTGTGGTGTCTGATGTAAACCTTAAAATTCTGAAATATTGTTTGAAGAAGTGCTTAACTTAATATATATTAATTTTAAAATCCAAGGAATTTGTATTAGTGTTTAGCTGTCTTGTTTATTTGTTCTAATGATACATTCCATGCTTCTTGGTGTTGCTTCATTACAAATTGCATAATAATTTGTCTGGCCCTTCTTTGTGCACGTGGGCTATCAGAACAGTTGATTTATGAAGATTGAGCCTTCCCTTCGAGCGGCATTGTCCAGATTGCTGCACTTCTGGGATGTGTGATGGTCTGAAATTGGGGTTAAGCTGAAGGTAAGGAATCTCAATGGTGGGGGAGGGGCCTACATTAAGGTATATGGTTTGGATATAATTCAGTTTGGTAGATTTGATGAGGTGTAGGTTATATTGTTAAAAGAGCTGTAGATAAGGAGGGAGACTGTAGTCACATCTTTATATGAAGAAGTGCATGTGGCTCCCATATGGTTCGTCTTATAATTGAGCCATGGAACCTGATACTGGTTTTAAATTTTAATTAAAACAGATTTATATTTAAATTTTAATTTATTAATTCACCTTTCAACTACTTGATTTAATATCTTTGGCTTATCCTTTCATTTAGGAGTAAGGAGTCAAATTCTGTTTCAAGAATCCTCTAACTATCACCAACACCATTCATAGTCAATCAATACACAAACTTGCTACCACTCCACATTTTCTTTGTTGTCATCTTCACCTGCATGCAAATCGTCTGAATCAGTAATGGTTTTGGCCTTTTTTGAGTTGCCTATATCCAACATCATTTGTGATTATTTCCACCTTCAAAAACTTCTCTTCCAATTTTGATCATCTGATGTTACTTTCAGAATTATCAACTTGAGCAAGCCTTTAGCCTGGGGTGGGCTCTCAACTCGTGATCCTGCTGCTTTGAACTTCATTTTTACTCTCTTCTTAAAAGATAAATCAAAATATTTTTAAAAATTTGCTCTCACCTGAAATGGAGGGATATGTGACTAGTTATGCGCATATTTTGGGTCTGGAGAGGAGTAGAGGATTTGGCCATCGTAGGTTGAAGGCAGTTTAATGAAGTCTACTTCTAATGTGCTTGAACTAAGGACCAATATGGCCATCTGCACTTTTCTATGTTTTAGAGATTTATGATTTAGAAATAAATACTGCCTTTGTTGCAGCAGTAATTTCTAGATCTAACAGCAGACGTACGTAGTTCCCTGAAGACTCAAGAAAACCTGTCAATTAAGAATCAGAATTCCACTGCGCTTAGGTCTTTCTCTGAGGATTGGTAGATCTGCTTGCTATTTGAATGGTAACGGAGAGTAACAACTTACTGCTCGTCAAACTTTTCTGCTAAACAGTTTTGTTCACCGTTATGCCATTACATGTCCTGTTTGTTTTTGCTGTTTTGACCAGACATGATTATGTTTGATTGGGAGAACTAATGATATCAGGAACTCTTTCGTGTAAAATACTTCCACGAAAAAGTTGCTGGAATTTTTGTGGGAAAGAAAAGTGATTTATAGAATGAAATAGCAAACAGCAAAATTATGCGTGACCTATTATAAAACTTTGACTTGCCTGTATCTCTCTCTCTCACTTGCATATTTTCTCAATCTTATCCTTCATGTATCTTGAAGTTTATGATTTTCCTCAATTCTCTTGTGTAAATTAGCAGCAAAATATTTCATTATGTAAACCTAATTGGTACCAACTCTTCATTCCTAGATTAGTTCTTAGTTCTGCCTAATTTTTGCTTAGGTTAGCTCTTGCAAATGTTATAAAGTAATAATTGTTTTTTCTTAGTTTACTGAACAATTATGAAAACTGATATAACTACATTTCATTAAAAGTTGCTCATCTTTGAAGATTTTATTCACTAACAATGGTGACATATTTATGCTGGAAGAAATGTTGAAGAACATCTTTTATGAGGTGAAGAATAAATTTGATACTGCCCTTGGGATTCTTTCCAAGGAAAAGATCACAATTGATCCTGATGACTCCACTGCAGTATCTCAGTATGCAAAAGTCATGAGGACCATTAGAGAAAAGTAAGAGTTTCCTATTCCTTTATTCAGCCAACATGTTAGTTACTTCATGCTTAACCTGATGAAAAATGCTTTATTTGTTGAAACTAAATCTTACTGTTGGATAGAACTCTCTCGGCTATGGGTAGAAATTGTTCAAAATGATTTGCGAAGATTAAGTTTAACCATTCATATACAAATGAAAAATGAAGATTCATAATGCTTATCTCAAATAATTGGGATGAGACTAATTTGATGATTAATAGTTTATTTCCTTAGTTTGCTTTGAGGAGCCTTGCTTGAGCATTGATCTATTGCTTTGACGAGCTTTGCTTGAGCATTGATCTATTGCTTTTGTCTAAGACATTCAAAAAATTATTGGCTTATATTTGGATCATTGCTTAGTTTGTTAACATTTTATAACCAAAATTGATTTGTTTTTAGATCTAAAAGTATGTAGGCTACCATTTGGCTTGTCATTTTATTCCCTATTCGCCCTACTTTGTAAAATTAGAAATCTGCGGTGATGATGTTTTAGCTTAAAACTTATGATGTTCCAGCTGTAGTAAATTTTTTGAACTATATTTTTACCTACTTGATTTTAATAATTTGCAGATTTTGTTTCATATGTCATACAGGGCAGATTTATTTTCGGATTCTCAGAGAATCAAGTATACAATTGAACAGAGGACCCAAGATATTCCTGATGCTCGAACTTATTTGCTAGCACTGCAAGAGATACGTATAAAGTATGTGATATGCATTTTGTTACTCTTTTTAATAGTACCTTTTTTTTCTAGATGAAGCCAGCAGTTTTTGGGGTTGTTTTTTTCATTTTTTCTATGTGGATAAGCTAAGATCCCTATGCTATAAAAAAAAGTTGAGTCACTTCTTTTAGTTCGTGGTGGTCTATGTTTATGATCTGTTAGAAAGAGGCTCTAAAGACAAGTTTTTTCTTGGATACATCATGCTCTTTGGTGTTTTATTGCCTTGCATATTGTTAGCATATTTACTTCAAAAAAGACATGAAACTATGTTCTTTATAAAAAATCGATGTAATTTTTTTTGCCGAAACTAAATTAAGTGATTAAAACAATTGGCTGTTAAACCAAATCAAGTATTGTAATGGCAAATAAAAATCATTCTTACAAATGCATATACAACATGCATGATTAAAGTAATTTTTTATACTCATACTTAATAGCCCATGTCATCTGGCCCACATGAAAAAAGAGTAGTTAAATTAGTACCTTAATGCAAGAAATATAGATATCTGGCCGAAGTGTGACCGCTCCTTTTAAGTGAAGGTGATTAGTAAGTGTATTAGATATGAACCTATGGTAGGAAGTGTCAAATAAAAAGATCTAATTTAGAAGAGAGAAAATAAATATGAAGAATAAGTATAAGCTTCTAATAAAGCATAGAAAGGACAAGTTCAAAGCATATGTAAGAGGAACTAAGTGTTGGACCATCTGCACACCTTTAGATGTGATTTAGGATTTGCTGGGAATTGCGGATCGCAGAAGGGGAAATAGACGGCTAATTTCACTATGGTAAGCTATTTTTTTAGTAGATGTTCAATAAAGAGTAAATGCAGAATGAGTGATGTTGTGCGAGTATCGACAGGACCTAAATTATCAACGGGCTCTCCAAGAACGTTGAAAATTTGTCCGAGAGTAGCTCCCCCGACTGGAACACTCGCGAGGCGTCCCTATGGCTGTAGGGAATTCTCCCCCTCTCTTTAGTGTGGGGTGTGAGGGTTGTTTGGAAACCTATGATGCACTGATACATATATGAGAATATGCACATAAGACATGGTAAGAATTTGTATGCTTAGCACTTAAAACTATATGATTTACCATATTTAGCACCAAAACTTCATTGTTTATATAATACAACACTCTTTTATCGGAGTTAGCAGAACTCTTGACGATGAAGATGAAGTCATAACAAATCTCATTGGGTATGAGGATGTCACGATGGGATACTATTGGGAAGAGACTTTGACTATTGTCTCCCTCTCTGTCAGAATAGAGCTTCTATCAATGAAGAAGAAACAAAAACCATCATGATGGGATCTCGTTGAGAAGAATGGTGAGATCCACGATGTACCACCTCTTCCTGCAACTTCGAATACCCTTGTGTCTCTTGCCAAAACTCCACTGTCGCAATCAATTTTGTCGTTGACCTTTTCTTTTTCGTCGGTTATAGGATTGTAATTGAGAGGGTGAGAAGGGTGTTTTTTTTGTTGTTATTCAAATTTTTTAGTATTATACGCGCAAAAGTTGGAGTATTATCTTGTAAATTTTGTCTTTAGTAATCTTTTGTGTGATTTTTCACGAATTTCAACCCAACTTTAGAAATTCTTTCTTTAAGCTGATAATGTTGGACTAGTTGCTTATCAAGAACTAATGTTAAGAATCTATCATTTTGCACAACAAATAGTAGGTTTGCTGTGATGTCCAGCCATTCATTTCAGCCAAAATAGTGTTATACGGAGTTTGTTTTCCGGTATTGTTATGATTTTTTTTAGCTCTTTTTAGTTGATTTATTCATAAATAATTTAAAATAATATGATTTTGGTTTTTTTAAGAAATGTGCGATGGAAAGCAATCTTCATCTTGCTCATGACTAGATGAACATGTTTAATACCCTATAGGAGTAACTTTTGTATGCCTATGAGGGTAGCTTTATTATATTGAATATTAAAGAGTATGACATTAGAACAACGCGAGATTAATTGAAGCGTTTGATCCATAGGAGGAAAGCACATAAAATGGTTAATCTACTTGGGGCCTCTAACTAGAAGAGTTGTAAAATTTTAAGAAAGCAAATATTATGGTCTCAAAACAATTTTAGTAGAAAAGAAGCTTGTTGGGAATCTTTTGATGGAAAATTAAAAACATGATAATTCTTAATTCACTTATAAATTGAGTGTGGTGGCTAGTCTGTGGCCTCGCTGTCAAATAGAACAAGACTAACACGAATACTTCTCTATTCCATTATACCTCTCAGCATACTTTAGAGTACACGACATCCCTTGCGTAAGTGCACAAGTGTTGACGTCATAAAGTGTAATTTAAGAATTTAATATTCATAATCTGTGCCATCTTCTTGCAAATTTTGTCTTCAAGAGATCTCCCTGCGTTTCTTTTTTGCTCATTTTACTTGTTTTTGACAAGGCTGTTGTTAACTTAATCCGTAAGTTGCAAATATTAAAAAACAAATTAGCTTGACATTAATAAATTAATTTCTTGCAACCTGGTCTATAAATGTGAGCCGACTAACAAATAAGCTCAGACAAAGTCATCACACTGTATGGGCCATAAATGTGAGCCATAACGAAGAAATTGTGATGAAGTCATCATACAATTCTTCAACTTAGGTTTAATGCAGGTTGATAAATGAATTAAAAAGTCATTCGAGGCACCCGTCTCATAACACATCTCCTCATGAGGCACTCAGTAGGTGCCTTAAATTAATATTTTTTTGCAATTTTTTTTTTCCTAAGCAAGATTTGCATCTTTTTCGTTGGAGGCTATTGATGCAAATTCTTAAATTGATATTTGATATTTACTTAAAAAGCACACTTTTAAGTTATATATAAGAAGTTTAAGTTTTATGGTTTAGAGTTTAGACTAATTTTGGAGATAGATGGTTCAAATTCTTAGGGTTTTTTTTTTCATTTATTTTAATTGATTTGTTCCCGTTTTCTTTTATGTTCTTTTTATGTTTTCTTTTAACTTATTTTATTTTCTTTTGTAATAAATTCTATTTTTGTTTTTCTTGATTTGATAGGTATATTTTTCTTCTACAGAGGGTGTTGACGAAAAACTTGAATTGTGAAGGTCAACTTTAGAGTCTAAAGGTTTTCATTTGTGTAGATCTAAACTTGAATACATAGATTGTAATTTTATTATTAATAGATCTAGTGGTGAGAGTGTAATATTGGGGGATCAAGCCATTAAAAAAAGTGCACATTTTAGATATCTTAGGTTTGTTGTTCAAAGTGATGGTAAAATAGATGGTGATATTATTAGTTGAATTCAAGTTGGATGGTTGAAGTGGAGGAGTGAATCAGGCCTGCTGTGTGATAGAGAAGTACCCCTCCTCAAACTTAAAAAAAAAATTATAAGATGGTGGTAAGACTTGCAATGCTTTATGGAGTAGAATGTTTGCCATTAAAAAAGAAGCATAAAATTTAGTTAAGTATTACAAAGATGATGATGCTCAGGTGGATGAGTGACTTTATACTTACGGACAGAATGCAAAATGAGTATATATGTGAAAAGGTTAGAGTAGTTCTAGTGGCAGATAAAATTAGAGAGAGCCGCCTTAAATGATTTGGTCACATAAAATGTTGACCTTCCGTTGACCTTGTTAAGAGAATCGATATATTAGATCTGGCCTATGTTAAGAAAGATAGAGATAGACTTAAAAAGACATTATTAGAAAGTATTAAAAAGGACTTTTTAATTAGATTTAAATGAGAATTTGACTCTTTATTGACATAATGAAGAAAAAAAAATTCATGTAGCTGACCCCACGTAGTGGGATAAAGGCTTGTTGTTGTTGTTGTATTTTCTTTTTAACTATTTTTATTTTTGTTTTAATTCTTTTGCTTTTATATTAACTGATTTTTTTTTTTTTAGGCTTTAGTTCTAATTTTTTTAATTATGTGTTGATTATTGATGGCATATTTATGAATTATTATTAATTCTATGATTTTATTTTTATTTTTATTTTGAGGCTTTTGCCTTGATTTATCTTAAGGCTTACACCTCACCTTGATAAGGCAAAATTCCTTAGTTCTCAATTTTACTTTTCTAAACTTTATTACATAGCTACTTAATCCTTAAGGAAGCAGTACTTACATCTACATAAGGGCTTATATTGGCCAGGTTAACCAAAATAGAACCACTTTAGTGTCTATAATTCAGATTTCAAAATAATTTTTTAATTTGTCTTGTTTGAATTATATATATATATATATATATATATATATATATATATATTATTTAAGATTATATAATGTAGGTTTATTGAAATCATTTTTTTATTTTCAAATACTAATAATTCTATTATCAAAATTATTGTAACTCATCTTTAAAGCTCTTTTGGTAAATGAACTTTCATTTAACTTCAATATTGCAACATTCACAAATATTTATTTGGTGATGCCCTTTGCTTTTTGTATTGTTATGCTCAACTAATCCAATGTAATTTAATATTCATACTTCTGTTATCCTATCATATATTACTTTTTTTTGTTAAAACAAGATATACAAATTTAAGCAAAATAAATAGAAGCAAAACAAAACCCAGAACATTCCAAACATCTAGAGTATGCATTAGATTCTATTCTAGGATTCAGTTATGAAAAGATGGATACATGGTACCTTTAATGTTAATGGTGGGGAAGAAAGGTTGAACTAAAATGCTTGAACCAAATAAAAATCACAGATTGATTTGGTTCATTTCATTTGACTTTTGTTTGATTTAGCTTTTTAATGAGTCTTCTTCTTTGGTCCTAGTTCTTGTCATTTTACGTTTGTCATGCAATTTTAGCCCTTGTAAATTTAACCTTGTACATTACCTTATGCTGAGAATGTTAAGCCTTCGAACTATTGGTGTTAGGCCTTTTTTCTTTGTAGATCCTATTTTTCGTATTTTAACTATTTAATGGTACTGTAGGAGTGGTCTCCTTGATGAATTGGGTGCTGAGGCAATGATGATCGAAGCATTGGATAAGGTTGAAAATGAGATTAAGAAACCTCTTCTAAGGTCGGACAAAAAGAACATGGCTCTACTCCAAGCAGAGTTTGACAAAGTCAACAAAAAGTATGGGTTACCAAATTGGCATTAAAATGTTATCATAAGCTTTCTATACTCATTTATTATTATATATATTATTATTTTCTATCTATTTTCAAATCCGGAATAAATATTGCTTGTTCTCTTAGACATGAGATTTTACCTTCGTTCACATTGCTTTAAGTTAACTATTCATGGAGACAGACTTACAATCTTACTAGCAAATGTTTCTTTTAAGAGCATTTTGTCAAATACTTTCATCAATACCGCCAAAAGTTTTATAAATCAAGCTCATGGTCAATTCAGTCATTGTTTACTATAATAACCGAGTACTGTTGCAGGCTAATATAATGCATCTTCCGTTATTCTTGTCTACAACTTATTTGCACATTTTTTGTTTGTCATGAAATTTTACCAAACTTCTGATTAAACACAGTTTAATCTTTGCATTCTTTTAGTTGGTATTATGCGTGAAGTAAAAGGAATCTGACTTCTTTTTCTTATATAAAATTTGTCCCAGGCTTGGGATTAGGAAGGAAGATCTTCCTAAATATGAGGCAGACTTGGAAATCAAGATTGCCAAAGCAGAGTTGCACGAACTAAAGAAGGATGCAGTCGAGGCAATGGAAACCCAGCTAAAGAGGTGCGTGAGTTTTGAACATTTTATTTAAGTCTATAAGGTATTCATTTTCTGTTTTAATTTCGTGATTGTTAGTTTTTAGAATTTTGAAATTTGCATGATTTCTTCTATCTAGGTGATTTGTAATTGCGTTGTATCTGTTATGTCATTTGTGCTAGCTTCTTGCCATCATTAATGCCAAATTGGACCTAATTGTTATTTTCATGCATAATTTCTTCTATATGGAATTTTCTAAGGCATGGTGAGGAATAATCATGTCTGTTCGCTCAGTAATTTTGGGTTAATATTTGTAAAAAGGGGAAAAAATTTAACAATTTTGTTGAACATCTGAACTGACAAACTTTAAAAGAAATAAATATTGTAGGCATTGAAAACTTGGTGTCGTCATCATTGTTCTTAGTTTTATCTCAACTATTTGGGTTCAAATTTTTATGAATTCTCTTTTTTATTCATTTTTGTTGAGTGTTGTCTTAACTATGACATTTATTCTTATTAAATTATTTTGAACAACTTCTACTCATATTACTATTCATCAACCTTTTCTATTTTCTAATTCTCTGACTCTAATTTATGCCTTGTTTGGTTGGGCCATTGTTGTTACAAAAGTTTGTTTTAAAGCGGTTGCGGAGAAAATAGAGTTTTAGGAAAAGCTGTTTGAATAATAGAATTATTACATAATGTTTGGTTAAATTGCTCTTTGTGTGCTTTTTCAATCTAAAAAAGATAATAAGTGTTTGGTTCGGTTTATAGCTTTAGCGTTTTTATTATAAATGACGAAATCACTTATATATTAAACTTAAATGTACATAATTTTTTTTATTATTTAAATAAATGAAAATATACATAAATTTTCTAAAAAATTTTATTTATATTATCATAATTTTTGGCATAAAACTTGATACGAGTACATTAAAAATGAATATAATAATTAATTATTATAATTTAATTTTTATTTCTATTTACCCATATAGATTTGACAAGGACATGCATTAGCTATATTAATTTTAAAAGATTTAAGAAAATTGAGTTGTATGTAAACCTTTCAAAAATAGTTTTTTATATTATCATAACTTCTAACATAAACGTTAATACAAATAAATAAAAAATGAATCTATCACTTAATGATTAAATTTTTTTTTTAACTTTTTATTTATACATATAGATTTGAGAGGACATTCGTTTGTTATTTTGAACTGTAACTCATAATGATAACATCATTACACTATGACGATCATTTCATATAATAAATGCCAGTATATGCTTCAATAAAAATAACTAGCAGTAAATGAAAATAAAATCTAGCAAACAATACGAACAAACATAACTCAACAAATTTGATTTAATAGTTGTTTTTGCAGGAACTCATATTTGGTGATCCTCAATTTTCATTAGAAAATTTGAAGTATAACAAGAATATATTATAATCAAAACATCATTCATTAAGTACTGCATTTCTTAATCATTAATAACAACTACTTATGAAATATTTAAATTTAACTAAATTTCTACTTAAATGTGCTATCTATTACAACTATATAATTGCATTGCAATATTCTTTCTAACTTTAGCCATCTCATTCGCACCTTCACCATCAAGCAAGTCTACAAGTCCATCCATGCTTCCTAAGGGTTCATCTTCTCATACTATGTACCCATGTGCCTTTGGATGAACAAAATTTTCATCGAAGTCACATTCCTCAAATTTAGGGTCAATACTTGAGCGATGTCTTCGTATGTAATTATGTAGTTTCATTGTAGCTACAACAAGAAGATGCTATATTTTGAAAGTAGTTTGGCATATCTATTAGAATTCCTCCTCTTTTTTTCATGCACCAAATGCACATCATATTACACTTCTCAATGAGGAATGTCTCGTATTAAATACCTCTCGGTGACCCCTAGTAGGTCGACTACCTCGTATGAAATCTGATATTTGATATCGCGTCTCTAGATAGGGCTTAGGAAATCCTCTTTGGAGAGAGTATCTAAAGTCAACTAATAAAATTTACATGTTAACAAATATGTTACTTTCCTCATATACTATAATACGAAATATCCTTAATAAAATCATGTTCATTTATTCACAAAAAGATACCTGATGGCGATGCACGAAAATTGCATCCCTAATCTCTTACAACATGTTGGAAAATATGAGCATTATGCGCTGAATCCTCTCATCATGATGAGACAAATATAAAACACATGTTAAAATCACATACTGCCATGATATTTGGTGTAGGTTAATGATGTCGCCTTATGTAAGGAATGTGATCTTCAACGGGAATGCAGGCGTTGACATGAGTTCTGTCAAATATGACATGTACCTCAGATCATTGATAATATATACAGGAATATCACGAAATTGTTTATCTTCTAGTACAATAATATCTATTGCTAAATGAACTAATGCTCAAAGCCCAATAGAAAAATATACATTTATTGTTTCTCTAGAATGTTGAAATATCTCTGAGGTAGCTCTTCGGACTCATTGTGTCTTAGAATGAACAAAATAATTCAAATGCTTCTCTACTAAATTTATGTGAACCACGTAACCCATCACATGATTCAAACTTGCTAAGTAAGTCGTTAAATATTGCTTGTGACATCTTGAATATATTATGAAACCTAACGGAATGTCCACAAAATAGCTCCCATACCCATTTATCTCCACTTTGACCTTATGTCATGCAAGGTCTCTTGTTTAGGTAAAGTGAATAGGAATCATGAAGCAAAAAACTTGATGCTAGCAACATATGATTAAATTGAATAATTATCATATGATCTTTAGTTGGTAATACTTAAATTGAATAATTATTCTTCATTAGAGTCATTATTGGAGCAACTCCTGCTATCCTCCAACATTGTGTGTCTGCTTAAATTTAAATATTATAAAAATATTTTATTTAATATACATTCATAAATACTGTAACTTCAGATATGCATGAATGTAGATTAAAAGCAGTGAACCTTTCAAAAGCAGAGACATGGTATGTGTGTATATGAAAAGCGATGACATTGCCTGTGTGTACATGAGAAGCAGAGAAACTTATACTAATCACTTAATTTGAAATCCCTGCTTGCTCTGGATACCTTAGGAGCTCCAGGCCGAAGTTGTCTTTTTTTTTTTTCATCTACTACATCAAATAATTTGAAAAAACTTAAAATATTATTTAATTAAATATTAACAGTTAAAATGTTTGACATATTAGTACAGGCTCATAAATTGATATTACCCTAAATCTTTTATAGAACTTAGGTTGCATTTATTTTAATCCGCATTTTAAAATTTTATTGAAATTGACTATTGTACACTTACAAAACAGCCTATTATATACTTGCCGCAACACACCTCTGGTTGCCAAGAATTAGGATTTAACTGGAGTCTTATTTAGTAAATCCTATGAAGATTAATGTCATGCACATAACACGCAAAACAAGAATTATAGAGGCTATCTTTCACAATCTATGTTCTGATTACCGCAAAACTCTATCGTATCTCCAAACTCCATTAATAAATTGTCTTAACTAAAAAGAAAATAAAACCACATTATTTTGATTAGCTCGATACTGCTAAGAAAAATCACGCAACTTTACTTGGGATATATGTTACAAAAATATGAAATAAGATCAACAACCGAAAAAGAAAAAAACAAAAGCATTAAAACATGCTATTTATTGAACAGGATGGCATCAAATAATTCACGTAAATGTTCCAGAAATTAGAGCAGATCCTGTCAGATTGGAAAATATGCAATTACATGATATGCTGAGATGGTTATGTTGACAAAAAAAAAAAAAAAAAGAATGTGAAAAAAGACATGAATGAAGTATGTGTGTTCGCCTGTAGGATTGTAATATGACTTATATCTACCTATGATCTTTACTCATAATTAACTTCAGATTATATTCAGGAGTTAGTTATGTTAATTTATTAAAACTGTTGTTTTCTATATTGATGCTTAATTGATGTTAAAGATACTCAATTACAAACCTGCAATATTAAACGAACCCATAGTTTGCATTTAGGAAAAATCATAAATTAAGCTTACAAACTACATTAACTAATATTGATTTGTTAAGCAAATCAAATTACTGAGATCAAGCATGTAAAGTTTGAAGAATGTTTCTGAATATCAATGCATTACAAATTGACTGCAGCTATAAAAGTTTAGTAGTAACAGTAACATATCCTACTATTAAATAGAGCGACTTAATTACTTTGAAAGTTATACTCAGCAGCACTTCATCTTGTGGAAAAAATAAATCAATTAGACATTAGTTTAATGATTAACATTAGTTGTGAGTAAGCAAAACTGGACTGCCTACTGAAAAAGAAATACAAAGAATGTCTTTGAACTATGCAACATAATTTGTCAATCTACAGTTGAAGTTACATAACAAATTGTGTTCTATTAATAACAAATTGAAGCTCCTGTGATGTCTTCTTCTTAGCCATCAAACTTTCCTATCAGTAGGGCTTCCCATGAAAGTCTCCATGACTCCTATCTTATATATAGTCAGTCGTGGCATCGTCAAATATCTCTGGTACATAAGATAGTTGTTCCCATGCATCGAGAATTGTGAAACATTTTCATGGAGCATTTATTGTTGATATTGCAGAACTAATAGATCTTACTGCATTTACAAACTCCTCAACATGATCGATGAAAAGTTGTCTCCCCCCCTGACTAACTTATTTTAATTCTTTTTCTTTTTTGAAAATTGGTTGAGTATTTTGTGACATTTGTGAATCGCCTATACTAGGATCATCAAGCCCATGAGCATGTAATGTATTTGCCTCATCACCTTGATGTTCAAAAGATGCATCTCCTTCTACATCTATGAATTCAGGGAGTAATACGCCTGAGTTTGAAACCCAAACATCATCATCAATATGGTAGAACGTAGCCACCAAAGTGCAAGAATTGTTGAATTTCAAAGAAATCCAACAAGTATGATGCCAAAATTGTAAACGAAGTCGAGAAAACATCAAGTTTAAGCCTCCAATTCAACAAAAGAACAAGAAAATCAACAAACGATACAAGGATCTTCAATTCAAGAGGAAGATCCAATTCTCCAAATCTCTAGCCAAAGACTAGAGCCCTAGCACCACACAGGAGACTAAATTCAGATTCAAATTCAAGATGAAACCCTAACCTTCACAAGAGAAACCAATTAAAGCAAAGAGGACAATTACAAAATTTCTAAACAGTCCCTAATTCAAAATTTCCCTCCCAAAGCAAAGTTTAATTGAGTTGTGGGCCCCATCTCTCTTTCTTCCCCATGGTTCCACCCGCCCCTTTGGACCGCCGCCTGTAGCATAGAATCGGTCCAACCTGGACCGGTTCAGCTGGCCTAACATTACCCTCTCCCAAATACTCATCTTGTCCTCAAGGTGAAATGAAAGAAACTGATCTTTCACCCTCTCATATGGCTCCCATGTCATTTATTATATCTCCTTTCTTCCATCTTAGTAAATATATTATATATATCATCAAAAGATATAGCCTTAGTCATTCTTATAAGTTGCCTACTTTTCTTCATTCATTATGTCTTAGTATTATTTAATTTTTTTTCACTCTATAAAGCTTTTTTTTTCCCAACATCGATTATTAGTTTTGGACTTTAAGATAAAGGGGCATAAAATAAAAAATAAAGTAAAACAATTTTCTAGGATTAAATGGGGGCATTTAAAGAATATTAACAAAAATATTTTTGTAAATAAAAGATTTTAGATCTTAAGATTTTGTCTGTGCATGAGGATGCTAATATTATGTGGGAAAAAGTAGCTAGTGATATTAAGAATATTGCAAAAGATATCCTTGGAGTATCAAAGGGAAAAGCTCCCAATAGTAAAAATAGTTGGTGGTGGAATCCTAATGTGCAAGAAAAAATTAAAAATAAGAAGCTTTGTTATAAAAATTGGTTTAATTTTAAAAATTTTTATAATTGGGAAATATATAAAGTGGCTCGTAAGGATGCTAAGAAAGCAATATGCGATGCAAAGACATTAGCTTTTAGTGATTTATATAATAGATTAGATACTAAAGAGGGAGAAAGATATATGTATAAGTTAGTCAAACAAAGAGATAGGAGTAGTAAGGATTTAGTTCAAGTGAAGTGTATTAAAGATGAAGATAAAAAAATACTTTTCTTAGAAGATGATATTCAACAAAGATGGATGAGATATTTTGCTAAACTTTTTAATGAAGATTGTGAAAATAAGATTGACTATAGTGACCTTAGCACCCTAGATGAAAATAAAGATTTATGTTTTTATCGGCGTATTAGTAAAACTGAAGTTAGAGAGGCTTTAAAGAAAATGAAGGGTGGAAAAGCTGTTGGACCTGATGATATTCCAATAGAGGTGTGGAAATGCTTAGGAGATGAAGGAATTTCATGGCTTTCTAAACTTGCTTTAGTCTTGGATGTTCTCACTAGACATTTGCAAGATGATGTACCTTGGTGTATGCTTTTTGCTGATGATATTCTTCTTGTTGATAAGACTAGAGAGGGAGTTGAAGGTAAACTTGAATTATGGAGGTCAACCTTAGAGTCTAAAGGTTTTCTCTTGAGTAGATCTAAAACGGAATATATGGAGTGTAATTTTAGTAGTAATAAACCTAGTGAGGGGATTATGACTTTGGGCGATCAAGTCATTAATAAGAGTACACGTTTTAGATATCTTGGATCTATTGTTCAGAGTGATGGGGAAATAGATGGGGATATTATCAGCAGAATTCAAGTTGGATGGTTGAAGTGGAGGAATGCATCGGGCTTGTTATGTGATAGAAATGTACTCCTCAAACTTAAGGGAAAATTCTATAAGATGGTAGTGAGGCCTGCAATGCTTTATGGTGCCGAATGTTGGCCTTTAAAAGAGAAGCATAATACTAAGTTAAATGTGGCAGAGATGAGGATGCTTAGGTGGATGAGTGGCTTTACCCTTAGAGATAGGATACGGAATGAGCATATACGTGAAAAGGTTGGAGTAGCTCCAGTAGAAGATAAGATTAGAGAAAATCGCCTTAGATGGTTTGGTCACATAAAACGGCGGCCTTGCGATAACCCGGTTAGGAGAGTAGAGGTATTAGATTTGACTTATGTTAAGAAAGGTAGGGGTAGACCTAAAAAGACTTGGTTAGAAAATATTAGGAATGACCTTTCTTTTTTAGATTTAAACGAGAATTTGACTTTTAATAGGACACAATGGAGAAAAAGGATTCATGTAGCCGACCCCACGTAGTGGGATAAAGACTTGATGTTGTTGTAATAAATTTTTGTACCTCAGTCTAAATAGTCTATTTACTAGTGAGTGATCTATTTTTAAAGAATTTTAATTTACCTCTCTTAAAAACCTATCTTAAAAGATCAACACTTTATCACATTTAACTTTCACTGTGTCATCTCAGGGCAATTATTATTATTTTTTTATCATTATCTTTATAATCCTAAAATATGCATTAATAACTATGTTGTTCAGCTCATGAAATCACTTTATTCTTTGTAAAATGATTTCTTTTACTATTTTTTATTTGGTTGGTCCATCTCTATATGTAATCTATATATAATTAATTGTTCTTTTCATTTATTAAAGTATGTAGTTGTTATTGAATGATCATAAATCATTGCAAATTAAGTATAGTTTCTCATAAAACTTCTATATTTTATTCCATAACTACTGAATTTCATAGCTTATTTTATCAGGACATTTGTGTCTATCTAAGTTATTTGCTATAAGTATTATTTTTTCCTAATTTATCTATCGTTGTAGTTCATTCATCTCTTCTAAAATTGATATTTAAAATTATTTTCAACTTCAATTTTACCTTTGTAAAACTATATTTGTAGTAACATCATGGATAATAGGAATCACTTTATTATTGTCCATATTCACCTTACAATTTTATTTCAACCATACATTCATTACTATCCCAATGTTAACTTTTCCAATATACAATAACTTAACCTTCCCCAATTATTTTGATTTTTTTTCCTTTGCACTTACTATCTTATAATCAATCAATGTTTATTCATGTTTTAGTTATTCTATACACCAATCGTCTTGTCTTATCTTTTAAAGTCTTTAAATTTTATGCAGTAATCTAATCATAGATTTAGATCTAGTTAATTCTTGTTTGCTTTTCATCAAATCGGGTTAGTGCGTGGTGCATCACTTCGAGGTGATTAGGGATGACATTCAAGCCAACTGTTGCCTATTTTTCACCACAATCGGTTTAAGTTGTACTGCGCCACTTTGAGTTGAAGCCCTAATAAACTACTACTTGTCACCACAATGAGATTAGAACTTCGTTTGGTTGGGCGTAATTACGCCTTTCCGGCTAAAATCGGAAAAAATGGTTGCTGTTTTATATTTGTTTAGACGACTTTTGTAAAAATCATTTTCTTAAAACTCCGTATATCTGCCGATCTAAGAAGAAAAAAATTTCTACTTATCCGTTCTTAGAACCTCCGTTTAAAAAGGAAAAAAAGATGTCGGGAACCAAACGTGGCCTAGATCACGGCGCATAGCTTATAGGGGGAGCACCCCAATCAGATTGGAAATTTTTATTAATTTTGACATAAATTTTATCAGTCTGTCAACCTGATATTAACCCTAAACCATTCTCATATGGGCTGACGGGTTTATATTGCAAACTTGTGACTTCCCAACAGGACCTTCCTGTTTGAAGAATTACCGACTATGATGCATTATTAACCATAGTACAAACTGCTACAGTTTCTCGCTAGCTCAAGTTTACTTGATGATTTTGTTTGCCTGATCTCTCTGCATCATAAATCCAAGGCCGTATTATTTTAAAATATAATATCAAAGATGCCTTAAATTAACGTATCATTTTTTCCCCATCTAACTTTCTTCTTCTTCTTTGCGCTAATGAAATGCAAAATTTTCTTCTCGTTTGTTCAGGGCAGAATTCAAGGACGAGAAGATGCCCGATGTTAGATCACTGGATATCAGAAACTTCCTCTGAAATTTTGAGGTTATCTGAACCTTTTTTATGTTACCATGAACATTTTTCTCTTTGCTGCATCAATTTCTCGGCCTGTGCCGGTCTCATGAACAACAGCAGGTAGAGCTTTCAATGTTTCAACTGAAATTCTGAAAATAAATGTATTGAAACAAAGTTTTCTAATGATATATTTGGGCTTGAAACATTTCTTTATTGTGTTCCATACCGGTTTCCTGCAAGTTTTATCTGGCTGAAGTGGCTCCATTCTGCACTGATTGCTCTGGTGTTTGCTTTAGTAGCTTTGCTATAAGCTCAGCTTTACCAGCTATTAGTACGCTTTAAGAGGATATTTAGGCTTCCTTTGGGACTGCTTTCTTATGGCTTCTTAAAATAGTTTTTTATACAAAAATTAAAATATTTACATTAAAAAGCTGCTTTAAGGAGCAGTAAAAAAGTCGTCCCATGGGACAAAGCTTGAAGATATGTGTATTTTTAGCTTCTGCTTTTTTTAGAATATATCGTATGCTTTTTATAGATTGAATATTGGGGGATGCCAAAATGGTCCACTTTTGCCCTTACATGGAAGTTGGTGAAAAAGAACCAAAACCAATTTTTTAGCTGTTTCATTTATTCGGCTTGATCTTCAAAGTTGATTGTTGGCAATTTTAGCTTTACCCATGAAGTCTTGGAAAATATTTCAATCAAGAGCTAATTGACTTCCCATTAAATATATCGTTAGAATCGTATTGTATGATACAAATCATATAATAAGATATTAAAATCTTATTGTGAATGAAATAATTGAGTTCGTACAATTTACGATCAATAAATGTTTTGATTTTAATTTATAATTAGTTTTAACTGTTGATTCCCTTTAATCATGGATTGATGATTGAATGTCATATGGAATAAAATAAGACTACTTAATTGTTTTGTTAAATAATTTATTATTTATAAAAAGAGAAAATTATTTTTTATTGTGTATAAATAAATTATTATTATTATTATTAACTAAAAAATAAAGATTATTCATATTATAAATAATTAATTAAAAAATCAATTTAAAAATATATAATATATATGTTGTGAGCTTTATAATCTCAACTCATCTATTTAGTTTCACATCATTTGGGAAGTATCTCTTGTTATTGTTTATATAGTATTTTGGATTTACATGTGTTAAGAACTCATATGAAGTGGTAGAGCTATGCAAAGATGTTTAATTAGTGTTTCGGGGCAATAATTATTATAAGAATTTCATACTTATTAAAAAATTTGGCTATTGAACCAGTCAATTCAAAGGAATCAAGATTGGTGTGCCGGTTGAACCGACGCTTCTTGCCGGTTCAATCTGATTTGATGCAGAAATGATTTTCAGACTGGATCGGACCGGCCTTTTGACCGGTTCAAAGTTGAATCGGTCGAACTGACAAATCCGGTCCGATTTTTTAAAACTTGGATTTTACTCTAATTGTTTTCGAACTATTGGAACGTGCTTTTCTCATCCATTCAAATAATATTTAAATTATGATAAAAATTTTGCGAAATGCTTTCAATTATCTATGCCAATACTAATTTTGTTTTGATGATGAAGGGCATTCATCAGGCCTTACAAAGATTTCCTACATGATCAATGTTTTGCTAAACAAAAAGTAAGCACATATTAAGCATAATAATTAAATAACAAAAGTGCTCAATATCTTAACATCGAAAAATAATTATCGTTCATCAAGTTTGGCTATTTATAAAATAGGCCTTATGATGGTGATCATTTATAAGAATGGAACTCCCTTAGATGGAGAGAGAGAGTCATCGTTTATCACTTAAACAAAAAGAATTTGATGAATGAATGAAACCCTATAATACAAAGCTTTTATTTATCGTGGGCGACGATGGTCAGATGGACCGTAGTCGGCGAACGATAATGGTCGGAAGGACTATAGTCAATGATCGACTGAGGTCGGAAGGATTGTTGTCGGACGTTGTCAACTTATCCCTTGGCTCAAGATCAAGAAGAAGATAATATACTAAAGAGATTTCCAAACTTTCAAAGATTGGTCCCCTTTATGTAGATTGAATAACAGAGAACATTCCATCATTGTCTAACGATGGTTGCAATTCAATTAGTCAAACATTAGATAGATGTATGAAAATATTTGATTGTTGGGAAAAGATCTAACAACAACCAATGAATAGCCGAAAGTCCGACGACGGCTAGTCGTCAGAGTCCGGCGAAGGATGTTGGTTGGGAAGATATCCAGCTGGTAGTGCAAGCTTGAGAAAGTAAGAGAGATCCTTCATCTTTCTTCTCTTCCTCCTCCATTTTGTGAAGAATGAGGATCTATTTTTAATTTTTTGGGAATGCAATGACTAATAAATAGGGAGACTATCAAGAACTTGTTGGGAGTGTTTCAATGGACGACCGATATTAGCTCCTACGATCATGGGTCGTTTATCAAATATTTGAGTGTCTTAATGTTGTCAGAATTCAATGATTTTGGGCTCGTTGGATTTGTCTCATCTAACCGTTCGATTCGACTATAAGCATGCAACATTTGGATATAATTCAGTCATTCAATTAATATTCTGAAGCTTCTTAATTGGCTTTGAGCCCTAGATTTGGACCAATTTGGATTCGGAATGGATTAATTTTAGTATTATTGAGTTCGTCTTTTTGAAACATTCAGTTTTACTATAAGTTTGCTAAAATCATAATTCAGATAGTCTCAGATTTAATTTTAGAAATTTTTAATTCATATTTACATGAGAGTATGAAGATAAATTTTGGATGAAATATCGAAATTCTATCTTTAATTTTATTTCTTATGGATTTAATATGCATCGATATTTAGCCTTTTAACTAGCTGGTAGGATAATGTAGCCCATTCGTTGACTTCGGTTGACTTTGGAGGGTCAGGATCGCTCCTAAAAGAATGAGCATGATCGTAGCCATCCAAAACAGCATACATGGCTGTGATTAATACCGTGGTGGTGGGAGAGCATCTTACAACAAAACCCTAACATTTCCCGTAAAACCCTCAAGAGTCGTCGCGAGAGATCCGTGCTCCGGCAATCGATTTGTTCTGGTCTCCGTGCTTTAGGGATTCCTCCTGTTTGCTCTCTTTCTTCTCTTCTTCCCATCCGTTTTACCCTTTCTTTGTTTCTCTTCGTATCATCCTGAAATGGAAGCCCTCTGCAGAAGTGAGAGCAGTGGAATTGCTCTCGATTTAGTTTTGATGTCTGTGATTGAATCTACGGCGATGGAAATGGTTTTGGAAGCTGGAAAGTTTCTATTTTGGCTTCTATGTGTGGTATTAATCTTCTTCTTCTTCTTTTTTAAAGTTGTATGGAAAACTTGTGTACAGTGTTGAATTTAGCTCAAAGTTGTGATCTTGTGATATGGTAAGGCTGCAGACCAACAATCCAGATGCTTGGGTTTTGGGTTTGAATAAGTTTATCTTTACTTTGCCATATCTGAAGTTTTTTGCTTCAAGTCCAAGTTTCACAAGTTGTTTTGTTTGTTTTTGTATTGTTCGATTCCCAGTTTACCGTAGCATTAACTAACTAGTTAAATTTTGGATATCTTTGTTAATAATACATGACATCTTCCGGAAATTAAAATTTGTTTCCTTTGCTGGTGTACTAGGGAATTTGTTTTGTTTGTGCACCGAGGAATCTATCTATGCCTTCTCATGTGTATGGTTTCACTTTCTATTACTAGATGCTAGGGTTTGTATTTAGGGTGACAGCTTTCCATATTTGTTATATTTTTGTTCCTTTGTGAAATTGTGTCATGTCCTCATTTTAGATATGGAACAGAGGAATACTCTACAGATTTATCATTTGTTGCATTCTCACTTTTGTATGCTTCCCAAAAAAAAAAACTTGTGTATGTTTAGATCCTGAGATGTGTTTGGGTTGGGAAAAGAAATCTTATGCTTTTGCTCTTTCTTTTATACAATTTTATGCTTTTGCCCTTTCTTTATGCTGCACTTTACTTTCCTATCTTTATGAGAGTAAATGTTTTTATTTTTCCCCTAACTACACAGCTCACCTTGGTCTGTTGGTTGGAAATTGTAGATCTTGTTACTTGGTTATTTGTCTAATTTTTTTTCTTCTAGTGTATGGAATCAAGGATCACCATTCTCGCACGTTAATATGGATTCCTGTAACTGCTCGAGGTTTATTGCCTTGCTCTTGTATTAGGACATGTGGCAACGATGGTTTGACATCTGAGTAGTTCAAACTATTTTAAGATGGTTTTTTTCCTGTCCTTTGTTGAGGAAATGGTTTGTTATGTCAACATTGAATTCTTTTAATTCTTCATATCATTTTCTTTTCCTGAATATATTTTGAGATAGCAGCACGTGTTCCCGTTGTTTTTGCTATCTTGTAGCTGCTCTTTCTATCAAGTATGAACACTTTTTCTAGTTTATTCTTTACTTCTCTTCTCCAATCCAATTTGTTTATTGTAGCATAGAGGCTTATTTAGTAAGAATTTATTATTCTCCATATAATTAATTGTTTATCATGATTTCTTTCTCATTAAATGCATGAAACTGGCTAATGACTCGATAAGTTGCCATTTATTTCTATGAATGTCAGTGTTAAATCTAGTCTTAATTGCAAAGTGTTCATGTTAAATATGTTGTTTTTGAAAAATGAAGAATGCATTTTAATTGTCCATAATCATTTTTTTATTTTATTTTTTTGGGTAAACTAAAGATTAATTATACTAATTTTTGTGCTTGGTTAGGACAAGTCTTGCTTTTTATGAGTTAATGGTTAGGGTAAATAACAAGTCTTCTATTCCTTTTCTCCAACAATTTGTCCTCAAATTCTTCTCAAGTCATTCTTCAAGAATTTGAAAAGAGAAAAGTTTTAATTAAAAACTTTTAAGAAAAAGATAAAATTAATTCCATTAATAGATTGTATATTTTGGGTAGATTATATTTTTGCTTCATTCATTTTCACAGGACCATTATCAGTCCCTTTGGCAATCCCTTTACTCAGGTCCTTTAGCTTTGCTATTCTTTGTAGGTCCATTATGCATTCTTTAAAGAATCAACCCTTCTCGTAAACATATCTAATGGCTGTTTACTAGTTATTAGGCATTCTGTTGATGTAATTTTCATCAATTTCGAGATGACTATGATTTTTGTTAATGGCAAAAGGTGCACCATGGCACAAAGGTTTGTTGGAATAATTATGCATGGTTAATGGCCCAGAGTTTGCAATTTATAATAAAGTGCAAATTTCAAAATTTGGATTTATCAGCAATTAATTGATGTTATAGAAAAGACTTCTTAAAAACAATGTAACATAACTGTAGAGAATGTAAGGTTATTCAACTTACCGAGAAATTGCATCGGAAGGCACATTAAGACTTTGTTTGAGATAACTTTCTTATTTCTTTTTAAAACAACTTTGTAGTACAAAAATTTTAAAATTTTTGTACTACAAAGCTTCTATAAGATGGTGGTGAGACCTGCAATGCTTTATGGTGCCGAATGTTGGCCATTAAAAGAGAAGCATAATACTAAGTTAAGTGTTGCAGAGATGAGGATGCCTAGATGGATGAGTGGCTCTACCCTTCGAGATAGGATACAAAATGAGCATATACGTGAAAAGATTGGAATAGCTCCAGTGGAACATAAGATTAGAGAGAGTCGCCTTAGATGGTTTGGTCATATTAAATGGAGGCCTTCTGGTGACCCGGTTAGAAAAGTTGAGGTATTATATTCGACTTATGTTAAGAAAGGTAGAGGCAGACCTAAAAAGACTTGGTTAGAAAATATTAGAAATGATATTTCTTTATTAGATTTAAATGAGAATTTGACTTTTAACCGGACACAATGGCGAAAAAGGATTCATGTAGCCGACCCCACATAGTGGGACAAAGGCTTGATGTTGTTGTTGTTGTACTACAAAGTTGCTTTAATAAGCAATAAGAAAGCCGTCTCAAATGAAACCTAAATCCATAGAAATTGCGGTGGACTTAACTACATTATTAGTAAAATAAAATAAAATGGATGCAGCATAAGCTATCTACAACTTATTTGAAACCTCTGTCTTAGTAATATGAATTACTCTTGCAAGCACATGATGAACCAACAAGTACTAATAATACTTTTAAAAGTACGACATTGGAGGTAGATTTAAGGGAAAGTAATGCTTCTTGGTGGAGGAAAAAATATCCAAATGCCATATGCTAGCAAACCGCAACTTGGCAAGGCAGCAGCATATATGGTTAAGATAACTAAACCAACTCAATGGATGAAGGGCTCATCCTCAAGTAAAATCATTGCTGCCTCCAAAATAAACAAATCAAAGAGAACTTAAACTAACCAGAATAAGTTCTCAAATAAAATAAAGGGTTGACATAATGCACGCATGAAAAAATGAAGGCCATTTTGTGCTTTTGAACGATCATCATTATATTTCTTTTCCCCAAAGAGATTGGTGATGAAAAAAAGGGTAAACCATCTGCAGATAGTATGCGCCATTGCAATCACATCACTGATGGTTCCAGGGTGCAGTGCACTGCGGCTTGTGTCATGGCACACATGATTTTGCGTTATTGATAAGTTTAGGAATGTTATTGCACAGGGAAATATTTTAGGAAAATTTACATACATACCATTTTATTTCATGCTATTTACAATTTGCCACCTATATACAACTTTAATATCAAATAGACCACTCCTATAATTCGTTTCTACCATTCATATCATCCTATAAACTTTGATATTTCATTCCATGCATCTAAATTTATTCTATAGGCGGTAGGCATGTAATATTAATGTTTTGGATGTTAAATATGTAAATAGCATGAAATAAAGTGGTATGAATGTAAATCCCCCAACATTTAAACCAAGTAATTATTGATATGAAGCTGGTCTGATTTGAGCCAACTGATATTATACTTGTTACTTGGACTTCATTTGGTTTTACTTAGATTTTGTTCTTGTTTCAAAAAAATTCTATTTTTCAGAATGTTGATTTACCTTGAATTGTGAAATGGGCAATGCTTGGGCATGTACACCTTGGTTTCACATTCATTGCAGAGAAACTCGGCAATCTCTGTTGGTGTTGTGATTACTTGTTTTGCATAGCAAAACGAAGGTATAGTAGCTTGCATTTTGAGCTATCATGTAAACTATACACATAAGCAGGAAATCTATTAGTACAAGGTTAATGAAATAAAGAGGATAGAGTGTAGTGAAAGAGTCCAAAAAGGATTATTAATGGTAACAAAGAAAGATTTAGTGAGACTAGTAAGGTAGTGAGAGGGAGAAAAAGTTTATAATGAAATGGATCATGGCGTGTGTAAGTGGGTTTACCCCTTGACCATGCTTTACTATTTCAAAGCGGTCTGAATGATGAAATGGATCATGGCGTGTGTAAATGTGCTCGTTAACCTGCTATTTAATGTTTGATCTGGCTGAAGCATCTAGTCTATTGAGCATGCGGAGGCTCTCTCTGCAGAGGGCAACCATCTTCTCTACAAGAATAGCAGCTATTCTCAGATTTAAGCTAGTAGTGTAAGGTTTACTTGTTGAGAATTATAATTATTTTGTGTTGGAAGAGCAATCAGATGCAAAGTGTGCAATATATTTGGACTTTTTATTAACTCATCTGCTACAATGCTAGAGGTTCTCCTATATGGGAACATTGTAGTGAAATGGAAAATGGCAGTTTTTTTAATATTAAATCTAGAATTTGCAAGTGCTATGACTGTTTTTATTGCTTTATTCTTCATTCGATTCATGTCATTATTGTTCGACAAGTTTTACGCTGGCTGTCGACTACCTAACGCAACCCTCCAATTTTCTCATCCAGGACTTGGGACCTGGCAACGACAGTGTTAATGCTAGGGCGTCCCCTGGAAGCGACGCGCTGTATGGCCTGAATACAGTGACAAGTGTGCAAGGGCCGCTGCACCGACGCCCGGGTGCAGTGTTAAATAGGCAAGGGTTCCCACATCAAGGACGAATGTGGGCAAAGAAGCTAGTCCATGAAACTAAATTTAGGATTGGAACTTGGGTTCCCTTACAGGAAAATTAATGGAATTAATAGACATTATGATTCATAGGAAGTTAAATATTTTGTGCATTCAGGCAACTAAATGGGTTGGAGAGAAGGCTAAGGAAATTGATAGTTTAAGATTTAAACTTTAGTATTCAGATAGGAGTCGTACTAGAAATGGTGTAGGTGTTATTATAGATAAGAGTTTAAAGGATAATAGATAGAATTATAGCTTTAAAGATTGTTGTTGATGATAAGATTGTTAATATTATAAGTGTTTATGCTCCTCAAGTAGGTTTGGATATGAATTCTAAATTAAATTTTTGGAATGACTTAGAAGAATTAATACAAAATATACCTCTTGAAGAAAGAGTTTTTATTGGAGGAGATTTAAATGGACACGTTGGTAGAGAGGT